AATTATGGATTTCTCTGCAGGACAAGTTTCATGACATCATAAATTAAAGGTCCAGTATGGATAATTCAAGGAGATATATTGGCAGAAATCAATTATAATACATTATGCATGTTTATGTTGGTGTAAAATTACCCAAAAATAAGAACTGTTTTGTTTTTGTAACCTCAGAATGAGCCATCTATATCTACATCGGGAGTGGGTCCTCATCAACGTAGATCACCATGTTGCACTGCCATGTTTCTACAACAGCCTACAACTGACAAACCAAACACGAGCTGTAGAAAGGGCCATTTGCCTTTTTGTGATAGCCACCATTGTTAGCAGCCCCTCTATCAGACGAACACTGCTTCATTCAGTGTTGTTACCGGTTTAAATCATTTGTTCTGCTTGTTTTAGAGAGGGGGAGACCTCTGTGGATAATTCAGCTCATGGTAAAAACCTCTTGAACGTCTGGATCGGAAATAAGGTGAGCACGTATTAGTTAGCAGAGAAAACAGGCAAGCACACATTACCATGTGCTAGGCTAGCAGCCCATCTGTGATGTGCCGGATAGCATATGAGAACTACTAATTTGTAATCACCTGGAGCTCATTTATAAACCTTGCGTACCCACAAAACTAGGCCTGAAATAGGCGCACACCACTTCCCACGCAAAGGTTGTTATCTGTAAAAACAGACTTGATAGGAGAAACTTTGACTTGTGCTTACACACATTTTGGAGATGGGAAATCGGCGACGCATATGGTGAGGTGAGAGCCTGATTGTAGAAATTGTCGAATATTTTTTGGCGCATGCCAGTTTTGGCTTTCGTCCGTAGGTACATTTTTAGTATGGATCCCGCGCATTGTTTTACAAATGAGACCCCTGGTCCATTTATTTTGGAGAGAAAGAAACTTCTGCAGATAATTCAGCTCCCGAATCAACTGCAAAAAAACTCCTGAACAATGAACACTGAAGGAATTCTGAGCAGGACAAGTTTCAGCTGGTTGAAATCTGTGACCCTCACCACTAGAGGCCACTAAACCCCCCTTAATTTTACACACTGCTCCTTAAAGTGTTTCAAAACAGGAAATATAGCTGCACATTGGTGATATGCTGCAGTCCATAATAATAAAATGAAAATAACAAGCAATATATGACACAAATACAATTAGCTAAAACTCACTCCTTGGCTGTTATAGGGCAAGCTTTCATGTCTACTGCCAGCAGCTGGTTAGCTTTGCTTGACATAAAGACAGGAAACAAAGAGGAAACAGCTGGCCTTGCTCTTAACAAAATCCACCTACCAGCACCTCCAAAGCCTCCTAATTAATATGATGAATTCCACTTGTGTAAATCAAAGTGTTAAATCTATATTGTGGTTCCTAAGGTCTTGTTTTAGGCTGTCAGCTGTAGCTTTACAATACATATACCACACAGACGTGAGAGTGGAATCAGTCCTCTCATCTGACTCTCAGTAAAAACGCAAATAAGAGTATTTTGAAAAACATCAAACTATTGCTTGAAAAGCAGAACATTGCTGCCAATTATGCCTTGGCAACCAGGGGTAGTATTCACAAACATTCTGAGAATACTAAAACTTAGCCTAAACATTTTTGTAAGGAGTCCCAGCTTAGGAGCGATTTAGGAAAATTCTCAGAGCAACTCTGAGCAAGTAAGAGACAGAAACTTTAACCTTAGTGAGGAGGTGTGGTTGACCCATTGCTAGGTGTCATACTTTCTTTTCACAGATGTGATTGGTTGTCACAGACACACCTCTTTATGAGCCTACAAGGTGTGGACACCCAGTGGAAATGAAATGAACTGCTGTTTGTGAAAGTGTTGTCATTGTTAGTGTGATCACTCTGCTGATGGAAGGTTGAGGCAGACTCAAGTCGTCCCTGCTGCACTTTTTCTAAATATCTTTGTATTGTGATCATTTTGTTTCTGGCATTATTGGGTTAGGTGGGAAATGTGTGTGTATCCCTAATGACATTAACCACAAATAACCTGCACCATCTAATCTGTAGCATTTCATCGACTCACTGTCATCCAGCGTTTGAAGGATATTTCTCCAGCCTCTTTGTTTTTCCTCCATTTGTCCCCTGCTTAAGAAACTCTTAAGCCTCTTAAAAGTCCTCCTTCCTACTCCTCACTTTAGGAGCTCTCTATAGGTCTAAGATGCTTTGTGAATAACTTTTATCTTTACAAGGACCTAGTCTTAACTTAACGTCATGATTCTAAGAGTTTTCGTTGAATTTTGTCATGAGGAGCAACTCTTAGCACGAAGCTTTGTGAATACAGCCCCAGGAGTCCAACTAAGATAGGTTACAGTTTAACATCAATTTTTTCAAACAATATACAGTGAGTGTGTGGGGACTGTGAGAATTTGTATGGATATCTTAATAGTGTTACCACTAAAAACTTTTTTTGTGTTGGATCCCATAAGGGCTGGGTGATATGGTAGCATCGAATGTAACAATATTTTTGACCAAATACCTCAATATCGATATTGTGACGATATTGTATTGAATAAAATAAAATAAAATAAAGAATCATAATATCTAAAATTAAAGAATTATAGAATAATTTTATTCTCCATGTACATGCTTCCCCTTGGGCACCGTATTCAGAGACATGGTGTCTCTTTTCATTTTTATGCTGATGATACACAGATTTATCTGCACGTTAGATCCACAGACCCTGGAATTTGTTCACTCAATGACATCTTACTGATGTCAAAAAATTTTCTTTCAGACAAAACAGAGATTGTTGTCCTCGGGCCCCAGCACGTTACTCAATTAATTCTGCCTTTGGCTGGTCCCCTATTGGATAATATCAAGTCTGGTTTGCCTAATTTAAGCTTTGGGCAGCATGTCACAAAGCTCGTGCAATCATGTTTTTATCATCGTAGCAATATTAAAAAAAACAATCCATTTTAACTTTTAAAGACACTGAGACAATTTTACAGGCCTTCATCTCTTCACACCAACAGCCCCTTTTCTTAGTTAAATCAAAAATCTATAAATTGACTCCAGACTGCACAGAATTCAGCTGCCAGGATTTTAACCAGAACCAAGAGACGCAATCACATCACTCTAGTGTCTTTACACTGGCACCCAGTATGTTTCAGAATAGATTTTTCAGATTTTACTGATTACTTTAAGGTTCTTCATGGTCTCTCTCCCAGCTATATCTCCAACCTCTTAGTGCCGTACATGCCAGGACGTACTTTGAGGTCCTTGGGCAGAGGTCTCATGTCTCTTCAAGAGGTCCGGCTGAAAACTATAGGGGACAGAGGGCTTGCTGTTAGGGCCGAGGCTCTGGAACAATTTGCCTGAGGAAATCAGGTCAGCTGAGTCAGTGATCTTTTTTTAAGTCCCTTCTTAAAACGTATTTTTATTGGAGAGCCTTTCCTGATTTTACTTGAGTTTTAAATTAATTTAGACTGACTTTTATTTCCTCAGTTTCCTCAGTTGCAGCCTTTAAAATAATAAAAAAAGATATTACAATAACCAAAATCTAAAACTAAATCTATTCTCATATTACAGTGTTGATATAGTGCACAGCCCTAGATTCCAGAGCATGCAAACACTGTATTTCATTTTATCTTTTTTTATAAAAGAAATAACCACTTATGTGTTACCTGAAGGATTTAAAGCCATAATACATTGTGAGCAAAGTCAAGGAACTTGTGTACTTTTACCTGAGGACACATTTACATCCCCACGGCCCCCTTGAGGTCCCCATCCCTCACTTTGAGAACCTCTGGCCGTGCCGACATGCATTGTGTCTACTGACGGACCTAAACTATATCCTCTACTTCTCCCAGGCAAACGCCCGGCGATGGCATCACGCACAGTCGTCATAACGTATCCATCCGTTATTACCAGTTTGTAATCCCGGAGTAGCGACTTGTCAATAGACAGAGCAGGACACGGATCCAGGAGGAAGGAGACAGACAGCAGAGGAGCGGGTAGGCGTATCGCCTCCCGGGACAAACCGCCGCACAGTGTGAAAGTAGCCTAACTGCAGGAGGGGACGGAGAGGCTCGCCGTGGAGGATCAGAGCGCCTTTTAACGCAAGGAGGGAGAGGGACATGATTTGAGGCTGCTTTCCTATCGGGATTTATCATCTTTTTTTCTGACCTATAACGCCTCCATCCACCGGGCAGCACGCACTGTTGTCCGGTGCTCTCTCCTTTGGAGAGACCGACGCGGAGAGAAGAGAGAGGTCAAGACAAAGTCACTTCTTTGGCTGAAAAGGGGGGAGACGAGCATTTACAAAGCTCCTCTGGTCCTGCAGCTTCTCCTTTACCCATTTACACTCTACAGTTTCTCACCTCCAGGCGGATAATCACCTACAACCGGAGAGGATTATTATTCTGTAACCAAGAGCAGGTCCAATGCAAAGAGCTGTGAATGAGTGAGGTGCGATGTTGGTGCAGGAGTGACAGCTGCTGAATGGGGGAGCAAAGAGCATTTACAGGGGAGCTTTACGTGGAGACCGGCTGAGTAACCCAAAAAGACGACGGTGCCCGGTTTCAACGCGTACAGACACGCTCCCTCACTCTGCCTGTCCATTGCTTTGCTCTCCGCTCTGGACACTGGATCCCAGCAATTTTAACCCCGTCGGATGGGTGTTTTCCTTTAAATGACCGATTAACGGAGTCTTAACGGAAACGCGGGGAGCTCATGTGGTGACCAAATGTGTGCGCAACGCGGCGGTGCGCCGGTTTAACGGCGTTTTTTTTTTTTTATTTTACCACGCGCGCAGTTGTGTCCCAGTGGATCAGCAGCGGACACCGGATAGCTGTAGGTTATCGGCTGCCACCGGTTCGTGTACCCGCACCAGGCTTTTAATGCAAAGTCGACGGGAACTAAATTGAAACGCCTCTCCTGCCCCGCCACCACTCCAAGAGCCCCGCAGCGCGACCAGCGTTGCGCGGTCCAAGACCCCCCCCTTACCCCCCTATCCCCCCCAAAAAAAGTGGATATGATTTCTTATGTGGTTTGAAAATACATCTGACCAGGAGGAGGATTATTTAACACATTGTTTGCTGAGTGGAGTTCATCACCTGGCTTGACAAAAGGGGGAGATAACCGGAGGAGAAACAGCCTCTACCTAACCGGAGAGGAAGAGGAGGGAGGCGCGCAGGTATGACAGTCTCTTTATCTACTTTTCTCGTCCGTCCGGTTATCGCTCTATTTCCTCCCTCTTCTGCTCCCCGCATCACCTTATGCTTTCTGTGTCTTCTCGCTTATGTGTGCCGCAACGTTTTTTTTTTAAGAGATTTGTAATTTTAGGAGAGCCGAGTTGAGTACACACAGAGAGGGAGTGAGGGAGAGGAGAGGAGGCAGATGGGGAGATAATGGCGCTGGTGTTTTCTCTCTCATACGATTTAGAGATGGTGATATCCTTTCTCTAGATTAAAGACAGGAGGGAAGGAGGGGATGGGATGCTGAGGGAGGTGCAAGGCATGGGAAGTGTGAAGAAATGGGTCTGGAACAGAGGAGGAGATGAAATAGGATACGAAAGAGGATAAAATAGCATGGGAGGACGAGGGGTGAAGGGGAGTCTGAGAGTTTAGGAGAGAAAGGGCGACGAGGGAGGGATGGATGGATATAGAAGAAAAACTGAAGGGAGGAGAAGGTCGCAATTGATTAAACTGGGGGGGGCAGATGGAGGAGAGCAGGGCAGGGGGAGCACAGACAGGGGGGAGAAGTGAGACAGGAGGGACTTAAAAGGAGTTGTTAGGGGAAGAGGGCAGAGGAGAGGGTGCTGTGATGGAATACAGAGAAGGAGCAGAGAGGAGATGGGCTGGGTGATAGGAGAGAGGTGTTCAGGGGAAAGAAAGAGGAGAGGACATAATGGCAGGTGAGAGGGAGGACTGCTAGAGAGGTGAATAGAGAAAATAGGAGAGGACAGGAGAAGGTAATGGAATGAAATAGATAGTGGAGCAGTCGGGGTGGAAAACGACCAAGGGGCTATAGGAGCAGAATGAGAAAAGACATAGAGAGCAGGTGTTGCAGCTGGCATTGAAATGATCCCTTAAGAAAGCTCTAACAGCGGCATGCTGGAGGCCAAGTGAAGAATACCCTAACAGTGCTATGCTGTAGCTACTGTACAGTATTATCCAACGGTCGCTGCTGCTGCACCATGGAGACAGAAGGAGGGACGCACAGAGAGAGTCAGAGAGGAGGGGAAGCCACAAAAAGCTGCACACAGCCAACAATTCAGTTTGCCGTGTCAGCTCATCAGCTCCTCTTTACCTGGTGAATTTTCTGGTCCCTAACTGCCCCATTTGCATTTTGATGGGGTTTTGCGATGGCTCTAAGCCACCGTAAAACACATGTAAACACACATGCAAGATTAAATGAGGTTTGGGGGAAGTCGTTTGCTGGTGTTCCTGTTTCTGTCTCCAAATGTGTATAACTGTGGCTTAGCTGAAGCCTTGTCTTGATATTTCAGTGCATTTTGTCCGTCTCTCTTGCTTGTATTGACACATCATGTTTGAATGTGGCTTGGAGCACTGGCAGCCTTGAACGAGTTTATAATGCATTGCAGATCTCAATCTTAATGCATCTAATCATCTTGTGCATTTAATCATTATTTTAACATGCTGTACTACAGTGGGAGATGCTGGAAGTACATGGAATCATACAGAGCACTTGCTCTCTGCGTGTATCTTTGAGCACATGACCCCGTCTGCACCACGGCATTCACAGTCAAACTCAAATACTGACAGAAGATTTTATTAAGATTGAGCTTAGAGCCTCAAACTTGGCAAATATGCCCAAAGAAGATTGCAGGCTGACTTTCCCTCCAAACCAACACGAAAATAAATTTCAATCATGCTTGTGTGTAATTAGTAGTTGATGTAGTCCTAGAGTGGGCTGTAATGAGCTGGGCCGTGATTCTCCAAAGCATCGTGGTAACTGACATTTCTGTCACAGTGTGCGTGCCAACATGCGCACAGGATTCTGGGTTATAGCTCATATTCTGGTCAAGCTCTTATTAAAGATGCACTGCTCATGCATCTCCATATCCCACTCATGAATACCACTATACATGAATAAACGGAATATTCTCACACTGCCATGGAAACTGACTTTACACAGGCAGTCGAAAAATAAAAATAAAATGTACAAAGTGCCTCAGGGAGACATTTCTAGGTATGGCTATTTTAGTTTCCTCATAGTGTAACATATGCTTTTCTTTTTTAATGCACATATGTGTCATGTGGAGCAACACAAAACCACAACACTTGACAAATAATTGGATATATCAGTGGATGCAAACAAACAATTAACAACAGCAATGTGTGCAAAAGCAATGGCTCATAGCGTTTTAGGTGATGCCAAAGGTGAGACATAAAATTGGACATAAACTGTTTAATGATCGCAAATAGCCCCGTTTGTGAAGTCACCCAATCCGTGACGCTACTCTGAACGTTATATTTATTCATGTGTGAAACACTGTTTGTGGTCTCTTCTTGGAAAATCACATTAATTGTTTTGTTTTTTGTTGAAAACACTTTTACTCACACGTGAGTCATTTTCAATGAGTGTATGTAAACACCCCCATTTGCTAACTCACAGCATATTATAGCACACTAATGGCTAAAACTGAGGAAGACATTTAATTTAATTTTGGTATAGCTAATGTAGTAAAAAGGTTAGTCATTACTGTGTTGCATTATAGCAGTGCTACAAATTGATAAGGAGGCTATATCAGTGGCATAGTGGGCGAGCAGTGTGAGGTTAAATTAATATAAGAGTCAGAGTCTCTGTCAGACTCTGTATAGGTCTTAAAGAAACAGTTTGAGATTTGGGAATCACACTTGTTCACATTCGTGCAGAGTTACAACACTACCCTCCTCTTTTTCGTCTGAATGATAACTATGAAGCTACCGTCAGTAGCAGGTTATCTTAGCTGATCTTAGCTTAGCATAAAGACGGAAAACAGTGCCAACGCATTGGTTTTCAATATTCTGGTATGAGATAAGATTTTGTCTAAGATTTTGGATATCACAATGTCACAAGTCTTGTCTTTTGCTTTTTTGAAGGCTGTATTACAGTGGAATGATACAATTTTCTGAACTTACAAGACTGTTACATTATTTGTCTTTAACCACTTTGTCATTATCCACATTATTGATGGTATTTTGGAAGGTATTTGGTCAAAAAATATTATATCTGACTTTCTCCATATCACCCAGCCCTTGTCCACAGGTAACAAAACCCACCTACCAGCGCTTTTTACGTTCACAAATTACCATATTATATCTTGTGTGTTTAATAGGTACAAAATTGAAGTGTTAAAGCAACATGTCTTGATTTGGGCCATGTGCTGGATAAGTTCTCAGTTGCAGTAACTAACTTCCTGGTGTCTCAGCTGGTTGACTTCCAGCCTCGCCGGGACAACAGGACTGCAGGGACTTACTGCGTACAGTGTGTTTATTGGTTAGGTTTAGAGGTGGTTAGTGGACTTTGTCAGTGTTGTGCATGAATGTGCTAAAAATAACGCCGTTTATTGAACTGAACACATCAGTTTTACAACTTATGAACCTGAATGTGAGTGTTGGTCACTCTTGCAACGCCAACAATGTGTGTTTTACGGCACCCAAGGAAATAACGCAGAATAATCAGCAGGGCTCTACCGACCATTTGGCACAGCGGCTCTACCTTTTTTTCCCTCTCCAACCCGTCCACTTGTGTGACTCTAAAGAAAAATTAAACAACACTTGGGAGACAGCACAGCATAGCATGCATTTTTGGAGTGAAGGATGCACAGTCCTGATAGTTGCTGGCTTGCCAACCCCTGGCAATGAGCCAAAGATCCATCGTTTGTAGTTTAACCCTCGAACAACTTCATCCTCCATTCCATCACTCCACTAGCAGACTGCCCAGCTCCCAGGATGTCCATCCCTGGGAGCTGACTGCAGCACATCGGCCAGCGTACAGAGGTAACTGCGGTGTTCCCGGAGCATTGCTAAGCATCACTTTTCTTAAGAACTGCATTCTCTAAATTTTGTGCTCTGAAGAACTGAAATCATGACACATCTTTCAGCTACAGAGGCTGTAATGAAGCTGATGGAGAAGCTTGTACTAGCTCGCTTGGAATCATATATATTTTTTTATTTTTCTCAGTGATGCATAATTGGTTCAGGCTAAATTAAATTTCCTTTAAATCTACAGTACATGGAGGACATGGACGTAAACTAGTTCATTTTTTGGGACTGTGAAATTAGTTAAAAATTTTGAATTACGACTATAAACTAGTTCATTTTAATGGGTGTGAACTGAACTTTGAGCTCGCTCTGGTGAAGTTCGGACTCGCACAGCACTGGACTTTGTTATATTTGGACAGAGCTTGTGTAGTTCCCCAGTTCTAATTCTCTATGCTAAGCTATGCTAATTGGCTGTCTGCCCTAGCTACATATTTACAATTGAGAGAGTGGTATCTTTATTTTCACACCCTCCTCAAGAAAGCCAGTGGGCATATTTCCCAAAATGTAGAACTATTCCTTTAAACATCAAATGTCAGAATGGATTAAGGACAGACTGGACTGGCAGACTCACAGATACTGCACAACCAGTTCAAAGTTGAAAGAAGGAAAGGCTGAAATTTTCTGCCAAGTGGAAGGCCAGAGACTCATTTGACCCTGATTTCCAGTATGAAAACAGGCCGTGAAAGTGGTGCTTCATGATCCCTCTGGCTTACTGGGGTTTAGACTGGAGGTTACAGAAGACCCACCAGAGGGATAACTGGGGCCAGAGAGTGTAAGAAAACAGCTGTCAAACCTTCGGATCATTCTGAACAGCGCAGTCATACATACACTGCTGTCCCATCACTCAGGTGGCTATGACTCAGATTAGTAAATGGCTGGGTTCTTTACTCCCTCCTAATTGAGTGCAGCAGTGGTGGGAGATTGATGGGAGATGGCATGTGACAATTGAAAAGTGAGAGTCCCTGAACACTTCCCCTACTTCTGCACGAGCTGACAATGCAATGTACTTCATGTTTACGGTTTATTAAATCATGCTGAGTCAAAGAAGGAAGGAGGAAGACTTGATTCATGGAATAAAATCAGTCTGGTTTTGATACATCATCACAACATAATCTTGGACTATCTCTGTCACCGAAGCTGTAAG